GAATGTCAAAAGAATCTATAGTGAAACTTTCACCAAAAAGTAGATTTGGATAATAAAAGTGTCTGTGGGAGAACAGTAGAAACCACATGAAAGATCCCAGTTTACTTTTGTCGACACAGATTCTATGTACAACCTGTTCTTCTGTGGGTCAACGTGACATTGTGAAACTGAGTCTTCATTCCCACTAAGAAAGAGTGAAAACTGAGACCTGCTTTGCTTCAGGGGAAAATCAAAGGAAGGCACATACCTTAGCAGTGAATAATGATCAACAGCATAAACCCCACTGCGTTTGCATAGCCAGAGCCGCAGCGCCTCCTGGTGGCCCATCTGCAGAACTCCACACAGGCAGGAATGTCAGAGAGAGAGAAAAAGGGAGAGAGAGGGAGTCAGTGGACGATGTGCCAGAGAGATGAGTGTTGAAAGCTCCTTGGAAAAAGGATTAGGGCTGTTTATGTTGGCCAAGTGGCTCGTTGCCAGCTGCTCAAGTGTGCAAACTTCTTAAAGCTGCAGAGCTTCGGTCTGTTCATGAATCTTTTCACTCCCTTTGCCCTTCGCCCAGACTGTGTGGATGGCTGTGCTTTGTTCAGGGGGGAAAGCCCCTTCGGCTTCAGCTCCCCCACCTCCGTAAAAGTGCACTCTGCTCCAAGAAAAATATATGCTGGATTCAAATTCTGCTTTTCTCCGACACCACCCCTAAAAACGCACCCATACAGTCTGCATGGGTAGAAAAATTCACTGTCAATCTACAAGCAAAATGTTTTTACTGTACACTTGTCTTTGTTTTTCAGTGAAATCCCAGTCACATGTCAGTCAACCCCTTCTGCTTACTGACATGTACTGTGTATTACCAATCACACACGGCATATTGTATTTGGATCGTTGAGGGTTAGGAATCAGATTATAGTGAGTAAATCTAACTACAGGAGCAGACTTGATATAGATATAATCAAATAAAGACAGGCAGGAGAGCAGAAGTGTCCAGGTTGCAGGTAAAGGGAGAAAAGAAAGAGGGGGGAAGGGGGCTGGTGGTGTGGGAGGCCCACCTATCAGCAGTAGGATGAGACCCAGCCTGGGAGATGGCGGCGTGCCAGAGCTCTGTGGCCTGGAGCTAGATCAGAGCAGGGTTCGTGAGCTGCACTTATGAGACAAGGTTCTTGGGTCATGGAATAATAAAAGATGCAGAGCCTCCGCAGCATAGAGCTAAACTACTGCTTTTGTTCTGGAGTCTTAGACAATGGTGTAGGACTGCTGCTCCCAAGCAGACATACACATATTCACAAAATCTATTTAGCTGTTCCCGTACTTTTGAATCCCCACAGGAGTTTAAATGTGTCTTTAGGGCGTCTCAGTGTTTGGACAACAGTGTTTGGGTAAACTATCGTTCAACCAGACGATCCAGGTCCAGACTCCATTACAGCGAGCGACCATGGGCCAGACAGTGGATTTCCTTGTAGTTTCAGCACTGTTGCTCTATTGCTGACCTTGTTCTTGGACTTCCACACAGAGGAGGAGAAACATTTTTATAATTTTGCCTCTTAGTCTTTAAAATCCAGCTTTTTGTGTTGCTGAGCAAGATCCTATTTCATTACCTCCACCATTAAAGTTATTCATAAACTGCATATTTGAAGGATGCCCAAGAAAATACAAATGACTTGCTTACGTACATGTGGTTTCCCCTTCAACTGAGTCAATATAAAAAGACAAATCCAACATTGGACTTAATTGTTTTTTAAACTAAGTGTGGTTGTTTCTCATTTACTTTCAATATTTTAAATGTTTCCAACAACACAGCTCACGTCTGTGGATAGTTTCGTTGGAGAGATTGTTGGATGAACTGATGACTGGGCAGAAGTTCAGGCTTTGTTTATTGTTGACTGGAAAATCATTTTATTTGATACAAACATCAGCATATCACTCATCGACATACAAAAATCACCTTAGATGCAGCCTGACTCAAGAAGACTGCCTGACTCCGTTCCTCTAAAAACAAACCTTACAGTGACACTGTTTGTATCTTCTGATATCAGCAGGTACTGCGATAATAATCAAACATCACATTAGTATGAATGTGTTTATTTCGTTGTATATTTTCTGTAGTGAGTGATTTCATCACATTTATTTTGCATCTGTGTGCATCTATAATCTCATTGTATATAAGCAAGTGTGCTTAAATAACTAATGGCACAAACACAAAAGACAACAAAATAGTTTAAAGACATGACACACTCACACACTATCATACTGCATACAATGACCAGTTTATTAGGAACAACCTGGCTAAAACTAATTCAATCTCATTCAACAGACCTGCAATAAATTTCCCTTCATAACTGTGATAATGTTCATAGACGTGCTGATTTTACTGTGATCAGTTTGAAAGCTGACGTTTGTGATGTTGCTGTAAACTGACTCCAAGTTTCTATTAAATAGACACGCTCTGTAAAAGGATCCATTGCAGTAACTCTTCCAAAGAAAATGGAACTTAAAAGTTATACAAATATATAAAGTAAATCCTTTCAGTCCAGTGGACTTGAATTCCCTTCAGACAATGACAGACAGGAGCGTGCAGTATAAATATAACAATAAGGGTTTAAGACGCTTTCTTACATGTCACACAAGTAAGTCACCTTCCCAATGAAACAACCTGTATTTTAAAACGTGATGTGAAATGAAAACAAACAATCAAAAGAAAATTAAAGTATATTGCACCGCATTATTGCTGTAAACACATTCCACACTTCCTTCATTAGACCCAGAGAAAAGGCACAGGGTGCATGGTCATAACTAAACAATGAACCCTTTGACACAAAGATAATAAGTTCGACCAAAAAAGGCAAACACGCGATACTCAAACCCACATGAAATACAACATAACCACACACGGTTTTGGCAACAGGGGAACACCGTTATAAAATATAAAATAAATCTCCCATTTTATCGGTTTAAAAATATATTACTCTGCCAAGACAGATATCACATTTTCGCCTGATACCTGACACTGATATGACATTTAACACACAGTGGTGGAAAGCCAGCTTGTGATAACGCAGAAAGAGATAACACTAGTGTGCATTTTCTCTCTCTAGATGTTTCCCGTTTGCTTACAATGTTTAGATTGAGTCATGTGGAGCTTCAAGACACATTTAATAACTCAAATTTAGTAAAACACCTGAGAGTGAGATCCCAACCAACATGAAAAGCTTTTTAGGCAAAGGATCAGAAAACTGTTCTCTATAGAAGCTGTTTGATGAAATGCTGCTGCCCTGCATCATCACAAAAATGAGGCTACATCCATACTTCTACTTTTTCCTTTATTAGCAGCTTTTTTTAATTTTTATTATTTCTGTCACCACAAGCTGTTAGGCTCTGTTTTAGTTTTGGTTGTTAGTAGCAGACTGCTAGAATAATGCTGTGTTCCATTATACCTTGGAGCTTGGAATTACAACCACAAGTTGCAACTCAAGTGGAAATTTCGACTCAGAAGGTCGGAGGAAACTCACACCCCCGACATCAAAATCCAAGATGGCCACTGTGTATTTACATTAGTGAAAACTGTAGTTTATACTGTTTATAAGCACTTTTGTCATTAAATTGGAACATTGTGGTCGAGGTACTGCGATGTTAGTATGCGTGAAATGGCACGTAATGTGTTATTATGAACAGTTTGGCTAGCTGGCTAATGTAAACATTGTTCCAGATCGACGTCATTCTGAGGGCAGAACTCAGAGGAATAATTGAACGCTGCATAATAGCTCAGTTCCTGATAGTCGAGGCTAATACCAGTTGTTTTCGTCCGGAAGGGGGTCATGTGCTGGGAGCCAGACAAATCAGTAAAGGCTACGTTATGACCAAAGACACCCAGCAGGCGGTCATGAGTGTCTACGTCATCGTTTCCAAACATCTAAGTTTCTTTGTCCAGACTAAAAAGCAGCCAGAGTTTTCAAACTAAAATGGGAGCAGCTCTGAACTCCAGAGTAGACACTAGGCATGTCTGTAGCAGAGTTCCGTTTTCAAATGAAAATGTAGTTGTAGGATGAGAACAACGTGCAGCAACTTCACTCCAATGTTACGATTCCAGTGTCTGCATCCATCTTCACAGTAACACCACATTAAAAAGGTAAAATTCACTCCTTTTAACACTGACAAATGCTGATATTGCACTGCGCTAAATCATTGATTGGGCTTTTTCTTGATCGTCACCAACGGTCTTCAAATGTTTCTGGTTTTCTGAGACTTTACACTCCGTGCTCATGAAAATGCTTAAGTCCTCTTGTGCTGAACCCCGTCCCTGAGTGGTTTGAAGAGGTGATGGGCGACTCTATAGTGCCACTACCATTTGTTGGAGGAACGACTCCATTATCTTTCGTCTTGAAATAAATTACATAAAATAATGGCAGGATGATGCCAATCAGGAGCATGGCAACCACAGCGTTCCACCAATGGATTCCCCAGTCGGCACCGTGACTGGTCAGGCTCCGTCCTCTGAAACCAAACCGTTGCTCTTTCTCCGAGTTACACAACATGTCCTCATCTTGTTCTTTGGAAGTCTGAATGAGTTTCTCAATGTCATTATCCACCTCCATGAGAAAGTCTGTGACCTCCTGTCGATGTGGTTGGTTTCTGGCTCTGTCTAGAGACTTTACTGGTGAATCAGATGAGTGTGGCATCGCTCCTTCATTTTTGTCAGAGCAAGTCTCTGTTAAAACGCTGTGTTTCTGTATCGGTATTTTGATGGATGTCAGTGCAAATAAATCTTGCTCCAGCATAAGGTTGTTCGCCCGCTTAATATCTGCCACCTGTTGGCAGAAACAAAAGTGGAATTATTTTGATGTCAATAAAGTACAACTGTACGGGCACTGAGGTTAGAAAAACTTTAGAACAAAGTCATAATAATGCAAGAATAAAGAATAAACATTTTTTAGGAAACCCGTGCCCTCTGGAGTTCTGGATACAAAATCCTGAAACTATCTCATTGTTTATCGAGAAACTACAAAACCCAATATGAAACCAATGATTGTTCTGGAGCACATTTCCCCCTGAACATTTTCCCCCTTTAAGTGAGCCTAATACTCTGTGTCGTACTGAGGGGATCAACAACAGAAATCATTATGCAAATCTGTGACTTTACCTTGCAGCCATATTGCAGTGCGAGCTTGTTGAGATTGTCACCATCCTCAACCTTCCGCTCTAGCAGCTGGACATTTTTCAGTCTGTTGCGCTCCTGCTCTCGAGAAACCAATGGTCTCATCTCCATGACACTGAACTCCTCGTCGTCTGAGGATGCAGCGGATTCATTCGATCTCCTCTTGAACATATACACCTGACCTTCTGCACTGGCGTGGACGTCCACCGGGGCTTGAAAAGCCTGTGAAGCGTGCTCCCCTCGCCGCATCATGAAACAGACTCCTGAAGAAAACAGGTTTTTCTTTATAAGAGAACAACTAACATATGTTTATACTTAATCATACAGTACATACATTACACATCAGGCAAGTTTCTAAAAAGGATCTATGTTATACACATTTGTGTGTTAAATACAATGGTCCAACAGTGACCATGTTTGGACCCCACTTCATATAGACTGTCACTGTACAGCTGATGTTCAGAACTGCGTTTCGGCAAACAAAGGGCAAAAAAAAAAAAATATATAAATCAGAGAGAAGCAGGAGTTTTTAACAAAAAAAAGTCCTAAAATATGAATCTATAATCAAAATAGTTGATCTATTTTCCTGTCAATCAACCCACAAACCCTTTCAGGTCAACAATTAACCAAGATGTCAGCATCTGAAACATCATCTAGGCCTGATAGGAGCATGAGAAGGGTTGTTGTTGAGTGATGTCAAGTTTCATGCCAGTGCTGACCAATAATGTTACTGTGTAGGCACTGATGCATTCAGGGAATCAATCCTGTGAGCATCAGAGGAGTTAAGTCCCTGCACATACAGAGCAGTGACAACTTTATATAAACCACAAACCGGACTGTCATCATGTGCCGGCAGAGCAGGTTGAATGAATGCACCTTGATATTAAATCTTCAAGTCTCTGCACATGTACTGAGAGTATGAACCATCATTTCTTAATATATTCCCTCATTGACAGATGATGGTGATGGAGACGAACATGTGGTGTTCGAGGCAGAGGCCATGATTATGATACTCATTGTTCATAACATCCACTGTGCTTTAAATGGAATAAAATGCCTTTAATGTCATCACACAATGAAGCATGGCGAAATAACAGATGGAGGTGCTGTCAGCCTGTTTCTTCACTAATGTTTCAGGTAATTCTTTCATTTGTCCCTGGTCTGTATTAGTTTCACCGACAGCTTCCTGTTTGTAGAGTCCGATTGTTTGCTTTTGATTCTAAGCGAACAAAACATATTGAAACATGAGCACCACACCTGGTTGTGACAGCACCTACATACACATGGCGTGCTAACTAGTGTAGGTGTTTATTTGACTTGGTTTAAAAATTAAATTGGTTCGAATAAATCTCGAATTCCGAGTTGAATCATTAAATTCAATCTTTCATGTTGATGAACGAGTCTTCACAAGTCAAGCTCACCGGGAGCACCTGAAGGCACCATTAGCGTTGGCTAGCAGCCTGATGCTAACGCTAGCAGGTTAGCTTTAGCTCCAACATGTGTCGGCACCGTGGCCAAGTCAGCAACCCGCTTCCCCGGCTACAGCTACAGTTCGCTCCGGTGTCTGAGCGAACGCGATTAAGAGGAAATGTAGTTGAACCAACTTTCTGAGCTCGGACTGCGCAGTTTCCTGTCAGTTACCTGAACAAATGTTTTCACAACAGTGACACAAGCCGCCGCCTTCACCCTGCTCTCTGACGTCACAGCAGAGCAGCCCACTTCTTATCTCTCGCTCTCTGTGAAGGAAGTGGACGCAAACACGCGTCGCCACCCTCTGGTCTGGAGTGTGACAACACCCAAAACATTGTCTTTATTCTAAAGAACTGAACAGAAAGAAGGAAAAAAGAATATCGAATAGATTGTGCAGATTTTAGTTTAGTGTTGATCTGTTATACACTTTATTAGAGGTAAGAGCAATACTCCTGCAATAAACCCAACTTTTATTTAATTTACAATGTTTATTTTTCAGAAGTGTTGATTCTGCTTTATGATCATTTCGGAGGCTGTCTTTTCATGGTGCTGTTTAATTGTGTTGCTTTATACCAACAGGCGTTTTTATTATTCGATACATTAAACTAGAATGACTTTATTTGACACTGAATTTATAGCATCGCCATAGTGCACACACACATTACTAAAATAAATACAACTATGAAATAGAAAATACAGATAAAGAGGTCAAGACATAAATAATTAACCAACAATGAATCTGTACTGCACCAATAACAAATTACAAAATGAAACTGAGTAACATCAAAAAAAGAACCCCTGGTGGTTTATATCATCTCTGAGGTTTTTATCTTCATCACATAACTTTTGAAATAAACAGATTATGGTTGTTGTGCTCACAGCATTGACATTTTATATTAAAAAAGTTAAATCCCTGCATCTCCTATTGATTCAGTGTGTCCGTTCATAAATTAGTAAACAGTTGAATCTGTACTTCTCTTAATCAGTTTATGATGTTTTAATGCTTTTATGTTTCTATCTTTAGTGGAGCTTTCTTTTAAATCCGGTTTAGTGTCTTTGATTTTCTTGAAAAGTGCTTTACAAATAAAATGTATTATTATCATTTATGTATTATGCAGTTATTAGTTGTACCTAATAAACTGCCGACTGTGTGTAAGCTACTGCGTAGTACTGCTGCTTCACACACTGCAATGTAATGTTTTGCCACATATGTGACCATGTGAAAATCATCCACTTCCACACACCAAACCTTCTCTTCAGTGCTCACCAAACACTAATCAAAATTCAACTTAAATCTAAGAAGTATGAATAAAAACAGGGCTTCAAAACTTCCTTTTAAAATGTATTTTTGATTTAAATATTTATGATAATTAATATTCAGAATCCTAACATCTGTTGGCAGAGAGACTTTTTGTTACATCATATCAAAGCCATTGAAGCGTAGGGGCTGTAAATTTCCCACTTCACCTCTATATAATATTCCCAGTATGAGAAAAGTGGTGCTGAGTACAGCAAACAGCTTGGGGTAGAGATGGTGCCTTATTGGACCACTAGATGGTGATATTGATCTGTCATATCTCTTGTCACCATCACTGTTTATCAGAAGAAACTGGCTCAGAGACAATCTTTGTAATATGGAAAGAACATTACTTTCATCCTATTTCGTCATTTGTTGCTGATGTGAACGGATTGAATTAATAGTTCAATCATTTATCCCCAAGAAATACAGCAATTTGCACCTGGTGGAAGTTCCTCCATCACACCATATATGACATAATTAAAGGATGTTTCTCTGTAATGGTAAAAACGACATAATAAACCACCCACTGAAGCAATTTAAGTTATACTGGTATATCTGTGGTTATCCAGCTTAGCTAGCAAACAGAAAGAATGTTAACCTGTACAAGACACATGAGAGGGCAACTTCCAAAGACACAGTTGTATGAGAACTATTAGGGATTTTTTTTATTAACTCAAGTGACGGTGGAGTTTTTTAAATTTTATTTTTGTTCTGAAATAATGATCTTAAATGTTCAAAATAGTTCAAGTGATTCTAGCTTTAGGTTACTAATAAATGATATACATCCTGAAAAAAGTTGGCTTTATCA